AAAAAATGGTCAGAGATCGTTGAAGAAAACGAAGCGATGATAATGAATAGTAAGTTTTTGATGTAAATACTAAAAAATCTAGGTGTACTAAGTAGTATTTCGCTGGTCAAAAGCAACAAAATTATAAGATTGGTAATGGTCAAACATAATAAAAACCAAAATATCCGAAATAACGAAAGCTATTTGATAATTAAAATTTCCATATTTCAGAAGAATCAGCGGCACAGGAAAATGAATTACTTGATACATCTTTAAAACAATCGTCGGTTGCAAATAACTTGTCGAAAGAAAACCCTAGTAATAATATAGTATTTAAAAAAGAAAAAGGAGAGGAAAGCAAAGAATTACATGAATCTAACATCGTATTGGAAATTTCTAATACTCAGCCTTCGAATTCGACAATTCAATCCAGTATGCTGATTCAGGAAAATGAAAACAAATTATTGTTTGAAACAACAGTTCCTGTTGTAGGATCAAAAAGTAATTTCGATATAGGCTACATAACTCATCAATAGTTTCCTGATTGGTATTATCTAACTAATTACTTTTGAATTTCAGAAGAACCCGATACAATAATAGATAAATCCATATTGGAGGAACAAACTTCTACTGTTGATATTGTGACGAAAACCGAACCTACAGCGAAAGAACTTAACAAATGTTTTTCCAAAAACAACATTACTTCGGATAATTCTCCATTACAAAAAAATATTGATCATGGTACGTATTTATTAACTAATTACTTTTTAATTTCAGAAGAACCCGATACAATAAAAGAGAAACCCATAAAGGAAGAACATACTTCAACTGTTGATATAGCGACGCAAACCGAACTTACAGAGAATGAACCTAAAAAATGTTCTTCTAAAGACAACATTCTTTCGGATAATCCTCTATTACAAAAGTGTATTGATCATGGCAAGAAAGTAAAATCATCAAATACCAAGATTTCACAATCGAAAAAAGAAGACGATGTTATAGTTGTGAGCAATGTTGCTTCATCTTCAATTTCAAATAATTTAAAAGAAGATATGAATATGAAAAAGAATATTGAGCAATCTTTAATTAATTTGTGGGCAGCAATTAATAACCTAGAGAGTGAGTATTTGTTAAAATATTGAAAAACACCGGATCAATAACTGTAATAAAATAACATACATTTCATGTTTCAGAGAATTTAAAAACACCGTCAAAAAACACTTCTACCAATTGTGATGCCAAAGATATGCATTCCGAAAAGCCTCTTCCAAAAACCAAGAAATTACTGAAATATTCATTTACATCATGTTCAGATATCATTGAAGAATATGAAGCGATGATGATGAATAGTAAGTTTTTTATGTAAATTCTAAATAATCTAGCTGTACTAAGTAGCATTTCACTGGTCAAAAGCAACAAAAATTATAGGATTGGTAATTTTCAAAAATAAAAAGGGCGAAATAACCGAAATAAAGAAAGCTCTTTTTAAAAGTAATATGATGATTAAAATTTCCATATTTCAGAAGAATCAATGGTACAGAAAAAAGATATACTTGATACATCTTTAAAACAACCGTCGGTTGCAAATAACTTTTCGAAAGAAAATCTTAGTAAAAATATAGAGGGTAAAAAAGAAAAAGGAGAGAAAAGCAAAGAATTACATGAATCTAACGTCGTATTAGAAAATTCTAATACTCAGCCGTCGACTTCGACAATTCTATCTAGTACGCAGATTCAGGAAAATGAAAACAAATTATTATTTGAAACAACCGTTCCTGTTATAGGATCAAAAAGTAATTTCGATATAGGCTACATAATTCACAAATAGTGTCCTGATTGGTATTTACTAACTAAATATATTTGAATTACAGAAGAACCCGATACAATGAAAGAGAAACCCATAAAGGAGGAACGGACTTCTGCTGTTGATAGAGCGACGAAAACCGAACCTCCAGCAAAAGAAGTTAAAAAATGTTCTTCCAAAGACAACATTCCTTCGGATAATTCTCCGATACAAGAAAGTATTGATCATGGCAAGAAAGAAAAATCATCAAATACCAAGATTTCACAATCGAAAATAGAAGACGGTTTTAAAGTTGAGAGTAATGTGACTTCATCTACAAGTTCAAATAATTTAAAAGAAGAAATGAATAAGAAAATGAATAATGAGCAACCGTTAGTTAATTTGACGACACCAATTAATAACCTAGAGAGTGAGTATTTGTTAAAATAGAGCAAAATTACCGGATCAATAACAATAATAAAATAACATACATTTCATGTTTCAGAAGATTTAATAACACCGTCAGAAAACACTTCTACCAATTGTGATGCCATAGATATGCAATCCGACAAGCCTCTTCCAAAAACCAAAAAACTAATGGAATATTCATCTAAAAAATGGTCAGATATCGTTGAAGAAAACGAAGCGATGATAATGAGTAGTAAGTTTTTGATGTAAATACTATAAAATTTAGGTGTACTTAATAGTATTTCGCTGGTCAAAAGCAACAAAATTATAGGATTGGTAATGGTCAAACAAAATAAAAACCAAAATAACCGAAATAATGAAAGCTATTTTTAAAAGCTATTTGATAATTAAAATTTCCATATTTCAGAAGAATCAACGGCACAGGAAAATGAGATGATTGATACATCTTTAAAACAATCGTCGGTTGCAAATAACTTTTCGAAAGAAATTCCTAGTAAAAATATAGAGGGTAAAAAAGAAAATGGAGAGAAAAGCAAAGAATTACATGAATCTAACGTCGTATTCGAAAATTCTTATAATCAGCCTACGACTTCGACAATTCTATCTATTACGCAGATTCAGGAAAATGAAAACAAATTATTATTTGAAACAACCGTTCCTGTTGTAGGATCAAAAAGTAATTTCGATATAGGCAACATAATTCACAAATAATTTTCTTATTGGTATTTACTAACTAATTACTTTTGAATTTCAAAAGAACCCGATACAATAAAAGATAAATCCATATTGGAGGAACAAACTTCAACTGTTGATATTGTGACTAAAACCGAACCTACAGGGAAAGAACCTAACAAATGTTTTTCCAAAGACAACATTGCTTCGGATAATTCTCCGATACAAGAAAGTATTGATCATGGCAAGAAAGAAAAATCATCAAATACCAAGATTTCACAATCGAAAAAAGAAGACGGTTTTAAAGTTGAGAGTAATGTGACTTCATCTACGAGTTCAAATAATTTAAAAGAAGAAATGAATAAGAAAAATAATAATGAGCAACCGTTAGTTAATTTGACGGCACCAATTAATAACCTAGAGAGTGAGTATTTGTTAAAATAGGGAAAAAACACCGGATCAATAGCTGTAATAAAATAACATACATTTCATGTTTCAGAGAATTTAAAAACACTGTCAGAAAACACTTCTACCGATGATGATAACAAAGTTAATCCATCTGAAAAACAAAATGTTAAAATCATGAAAATCAATGAATTGTTGGAATCAACCATTGATTTGGAGTCTTCTATTACTCAGCCCTTATCTTCATCAATTCAATCTTCTAGTTCTTTCGTTCAATTTAATGAAAATAAACCGTTAATTCAATCGATTATTCCTGTGGATGAACGAAAAAGTAACTTTTGATGTGATATATTTTGTTTTATTTTCTTATTCAGTTGAAATTTGAATATGTTGCCTTAATTTAGATTACTTATAGTATTTCTCAAATTCAATGTTTAACGTCTATTCAATATTTTTTTTTAGATATTTCCTATTATATAAATACCACATTTAATGAATACTCACTCAGAATATGACATATTAACTGTCTTTTTAAAATCAGAACTACGAATAATTAAAACTTATGCTAGTATTGAAAATTTCATTTAAATTAATTTAGTATCATATTGACTATCCTGAATTTATACACCGTTCAAATTTTATAATAAATTACATTCGCTTTAGAAATAAATGCTTCTTCTTTCATTTAACTTTAATAACGAAATAGCCAAAATTTTAAATCTTTTATAAATTGTCAATATGGTAATTAAATTTCTTTTATTTCAGAAGAATCAATGGTAAAGAAAAATACGATACCTAATTATTCACCTAGTGTGGTTGACGTATCAGTGAAATCCAAGGATACGGTTAACAATTCATATAAATCTGTGAAAGATATAACTGGATCTAGTCCTGAAACTGTGCGTATTGTTCTTTCTGTAAAAAAAGAAGATAAAAATGGCAATGTTTTTAAGAAATCAATCGTAAAATATCTAGTTCCTGTGGATAAACAAAAAAGTAAGTTTGGAAGTAAACTAAAGAAGATGATTTCTTTTAACATAGTTATTTACTAATTCATTGTGTTCGAATTTCAGAAGAGTGGATAACAAAACAAGAAATTTTATTAGTAAAGAATTTTCCTATCCCTGTTGACGTTGATAAATAATCCAACGAAACGTTTGAGAGAACAGAATCTTCCGCTAATAAAAACAAGTTTAATGGAAATGATTATTGAAAAACGATGATACTAAAAATATAAATTACTTCGCATATAATAACATGTTTTTTTATTTTGCGTTTCGCAACACCACTAGCAGATTTTGATGCCATCATATTATTAATTAATGGAGTATAATAATTTATTGAGTATTTTGTAAATTATTTTGAATAGACTCTAAACGACGACACACGAGACATGAGACACGAGTATCACAGAAAAAAACAATTAAGTAATACGTTTACGTAGCGATAATATTTAATCGTGTTATCTATGACATATACGTTTATATAATATATATTATGCACCAAGGTGGATATGCACATATGAACCTTCATATGCATCTTGATATGCACATATGAAGATAATGATTATAATACGACGGCCCATAAGCGACAAGGCGATAATAAAAAAAATCACGGGTACGGATTGCTATAAACAGTGACGGTGTTAGAGTGCGATGCCCTGGGTAAAATAAATGTTGGATCTTATAATTTATATTAATAAAATATTTTAAGTTCAGTTAAATCACAACCGCGGGACCTTAATTATAATTTAAGACGCGGGGCCCTGGGCAACTGCCCCTATTGCCCACCCCCTCGCGCAGTCCCTGTCTATAAATAACGTTTATTCACCGTCACAGTAAAGTACATCACAGAAATATAATATCTATATTTTATAACAATAATATACTAATTTAGATTGAGTAAATGAGAACCATTTGAAATTTAAAACAATTTTTTATTTTTTCATAAATAACAGTATTTATTTAAATATTTAAAATTGAATACACCTTACAAAACGATCACTATAAAAATATTTGAATAAAATGTTAATTAATGAACATCTAGAAAAAAAATAATAATAAATAAAACAATAAGATAAGTTTAACAGTTCAATAAATTAAAAGACTTATTTTTAAAATATTTTTTTGATAAATGAATTTCTTTGACCACCATGATAGGCAAAAGCAATGTCGTTTATACCTAATTAAATTTTTTCCATAGCAAAATTGTTTCAATAAGTTTGATGCTACTCTATTATTTTTATACTTGAGCACAGCATACCATATGATTTTTACAAAGATAAAATAAAGGAAAAATTTTCTTTTGCCAATTTAGGACACGAAGAGTGTGGGTTATGTGAGAAATTTAAGCTACACGGTATGTATAGTGTATGTATTCATACTGCTATTTTCTTGAGTAAACAACATTCAAGTTTGTATTATTTTACTAAGCAAAAAAGCTATAAGTCAATTTAAGTCAGTTCTTGACAGTTAATAGTAAAAAAACATATTTTTTAGATTTTACATAAAAAAACTAAATAAGCCTCATTTCATTTTTAGTTTAATTCAATACAATATATAAATAGTACAAAGTAATTTAGAAAAAGCTATTTTTCTCGAAACTTTGAAAATGGTGTATACTGTCATTAGGCTAAGTAAAGTAGTTAGTATGGCATACACTATTCAGTACTTTTCCGTTATGTAAAATAAGTTAATTCAATACTGGAAAGTATAAAACTAAAATGTTATGACAAGATGTTATTTTTATTTTGGTTTTTATAATTTATTGATATGAGTTGGTAAATGTTATTGTATTCTAATAACAAAAACAACCATTGTTAGTAAAACATGTACATATATATTTTTTTAAAAATATTAATAATTGTTTCTATTCAATATTCAAATGTTATATTAGAAAAATGTGCTTAAATGTCATAATTGTTTCCATTGACACCAAGAGATATAGACACTGAGCATTAAAATAATATATATATATATATATATTTATATAATTATTTATTTAAAATAAAGATATTTTGAATTAACACACTTAAAGTATTTAGCAAGACCAGTATTTTGATGTATAAATCGACTATATAACCCAAATAGTAATGGTTTTATAATATTCAAAATTGTTCAAAAGTGTAACTATTCACTCAGTTTTACGGTATTAAGTACCAACTAATTCGTAAGTAAGTTTAAATGATGGAGTACAGGTACATGGATTCATGGCATAAATCTAGTTTAGCGTCCACGCAGTTTTTTACATTTTTTTTTTTTAGATTTGTTCCTTGTTTATTTACTATCAACTTTCCAATAGATTGGTAGTTCAGTAGTATTATGTATTATAATAAAATAAATAATAAGCGTATTAAAGAATAATCTAAAATTTAAAGCACAAAAAAAAATGTTTATTTTCACAACTTCAATTACCTAGATAATTTAAATTATTAATATATTATATATTAAAAAAATTCAAAATTATTTTTTAATTAGGTAATCATGGAAAAATATATATATTTTTAAGATTTTTTCGTCAAACCAAAATTATTTCATTTACATTTTACGAAATGAAACTAAGAAACAATTAAATTGTTCAATTAAAAGGAATAAATATATTGCATTTGATTTCTAAATAGGTAGTTATTCTGAATAGAATTAACCATTTATGGTAAATTATCGTATTCACTATGCGTTGGTAAGAAGATTGAATACTTAAAAGTCTTTTTAAAATGTAACGTAAAAAATATAGTATAAACTATTACACAAAAGCTGAATGAAAACGACATTTCAAAGATATTACAAAAATTATTCAACGTTCAACGTTGAAATTCAACAAGACAACGATTAATCGGTTTCAATTCTGTGATAATTTGATTTTATGCTGCAATGGTTTTAAATAGTGATTAAGTATTAAAAATCCTACTTCGCTCCAAATGGAATTAAAATTCATTGAAGGAACAGGAAAAAAAGGAACGAGGCAAAGCTGCGAAACCTCTTATCAATATCATCATATAATTTTAATGGTTCTGTGAAAAAATACAAATATTTCTCTTCTTCTTCTGTAAATCTAAGAAAATTTGATAATCATTGGTAAGTGAAATTATTAATTTTTATAATTAAGAATGTGTTTGTAGACAGTATAGTTACACCATAGTAGTTACACCATAATATAAGTATACACAAAGGAGCCTTATAATGTATTAACTGTTCGTTTGATTTTTTTTTTCGATGGTTATAATTTAGGTAATTTATAAGTTAATTATATTTTTGATGCGTTTGATTTATATCTTTCCACAATATTTTCGAATTATTGACCAAAGCCATAACCAGCAAAAGATTTTTTTTTCTTCTTTGGGTAAGAGGTTAAGCAGTGTTTCCTAAACTGTGAGGCATGCCTCCCTAGGGCAGTGGCGTGTTTGATTTAATTGTATGGTGGGTGAGGGGTACTAAATTTGTGAGCATTATACACTAATTAAGTAAAATATTTTTATTTTTATTATATACTTATGTTCTTGAATACATACTTATTGGTCCATTTTGTACTTGGATCTTTTACACATTGCACATCTTGAGAAAGGTAAATAAAATACAATAGAGCTAAAATTTAAAATTTAAATGTAATATTTTCTTAACATAAATTTATATTATATATAAATAAATTGGTTAATAGGAGGGGGCAATCGCCCTCCCCCCCCAAATACGCCGCTACCCTAGGGAGATGCAAGCATTTATTGGGTGAGGCGAAAGATAAATATTTATATTGTATTTTACACTATAATATATTTATTTTTAGATCAGGAGTAATGTGTTTTTATTAAAATAATAAAAAAAAGTTTTTATTTATTTATAGGAAGCGTGATTAAAGGTTTTTTTTATGGGGATGCGTGAACCAAATCAGTTTGGGAACCGCTAGGTTAAAGTATAAATATGTTTTTAACTAGCAAATTTTAATATTTCAAATGTAATAGGCATTTAAAACTATTTTATTTTATTTTAAGAAACCATTTTGGGGGTCTGAATCCAAACCTCCTCCTTTTGTCATAACCTTGTTCTTGATAGTTACTTTTGCCGTCTAGTGCCCTTAAAATTCACAAATAAGGGTGAACCAAGGATATAAGAATCAACTACAATATTCAATATATAAAATGGCTTTTAATTTTTATATGAATAAATATACAAATGTGGTTTAAAATTTGAAATCCATCAAACGGTATTTAATCATAATGATCCAACGTCTATGTAGGTACTGCAGGTAACGTGTTTAATTATTCGAACCATAATATTGTAGTGTATATCTTACCATAACATGTTTTCGTTGAAAAAAAATCTGTTATTGCTCGAGTCGGTGAATAATGAGTTTCCATATATGTATTGTAAGAATAGGTACAGACTGTGATTGGGTAAAAATTTGGATATAGTTCAATATTTTCCCCTTCACTTTCAATTGTAAGTTGTTAAGATACGATGATAAATTAAATAAATTAAAAACAATTAATACATTTTATAATAAAAGTATAATTTATTTTATTTTTCTGTCACGTCCAAACGTTTTATTTAATTGTTATTTAATAAGGTAATTAGTAATTAGTAATTACATGTTGTGATGTTTTTTATTTTAATAACTATGTATAATCATCGTGATTGGAGAATCATAAAAAATATAAACGCCTGAATTCAGCAGGTACGTACCAAAACTATATAATAAACACAACGTAAGTACTAATTACAAGTGAAAGAATTCTAGATTACGAGGAACATACAAAGTCAACCTGTTAAATGATGAGAGCTTCATTATTTTGGTATGTCTGGCACGAGCATGACCTTTGAAAAAAATGCTATGATGACAGTGTTTACATGATCACTGAATCGTTCTCGACAAGTCCATATTAAATTGTAGGATATGATTAAACCAGTAAACAATTCAATATTATTGTTAAATCAAATAGTACCAAATTATTTGTCATATTTAAGTGCAATAGTCAAAAACAAAAAATTAAATTAAAAACAGTTTTTTAGAAGCATTTCAATTACTTATTGCGATAAATTTATCTAGTTTATGTTTATTCATAATATACTATATACATATATGTGTGAGTATTGTGGTGACAATATTATACTTTAACTAGGTTGATACAGTTCAGAAAAAAGTATCAAAAAAACAAATAAAATGCCTATATCTTGTCCTACGTACAAATTATATGTTTACATGTTTTTTATAGGTGTTTATTGTGCTGACGTTTATGTAAGACAACGTTGTA